CCGTGACATCCAACCCTGAAGCCTCTCCATACGCATTTTTATAAACTCTTCCTCAAATCGGCCTAAAAAGTGGGGAATTAATCAACCTCGTTTTAATTTCAAACTTCTTTACAGGGAACAACGGGTAATGAAAAGTGCTCACCTGTCACCTGTTTATCAGGCAAGCAGGGGATTGGAATCGCCGACCCGAATTTATCCAAAAGCCTTTCATATAACCAATCGAAGTGCTTGTATCTGTGATTGACAGGCTTGTTTGTGGTCTGCAAAAAGATGGCATGAGACAACATCAGCTGGAATGAAGTTATTCATTTAAACATGAATGTTTCTGTACTTACGGTAGGCGTGACTTGGTACTCAATATAACTCTTGAGGCCGTACATTTTGGTGCCCTTTTTAGGGTCAGCGACAACACAGTCCAGCTGATAGTCTGGATATGCCCACACTGGGCCAACTTCTCCCATCTGAAATACAGTATATATACACATATCCCTGTCAGATAAGTACTTTACAGAATGTGATACAGTACAAGCCTTGATGAAGTCATGAATATCAAGGAAGTAAAAAAAGCATTATCAATCAAAGCAACAATACTATAAATGACACATTAAATAAGTGACTCACATAAATGGGCAACTTGGTTCCTTTAGCGGCTTGTTTGGACAGCAGGTACAACTCAGGACCTGATTTGGAGAAGCCAGGGAATCTGAAAAGAGAAGATGCGGCTTACAAAGGACAAAGCATGAAATGAGCAAATAATATAATTGCTATATTAATAAACCCGTTATTGGAATCTAGAAATCATACAAGAACACTGTGAAATAGCACATCACCTGGAAAACATGTTATACAGTAGGATTTTTAAATAAAATAGCAGTGAAAAGTGTTGGGAGTAACACATTACAAGTAACATGCATTATATAATCAGATTACTTTTTGATGCGTTAAGGTAGCTCGTTACTTTATACATTTTACACAATATTTGAGTTACTTTTTAGAGTTTAATTAATTTGCATCAACATCTTTTAAACTACTTAATTAAAAAATATCTTCATAAAGTAGTCACTTGGGACATGCACTCATGCGTGTGCAAAAACAGACAAAAAGTACAAAAGTAACCAAACACATTACTTTTAACCAAGTAACGCAATTAGTTACTTTTTTAGGTAGTACCGTACCGCAATATTGTAACGTACTTTTAAAAGTAATTTCCCCAACATTGATAAATGGACAATGTACATTTTCTTTTTTCAATATTTTAATTAAACTTAAAATAAAAATGGTGTAAATAAGTGAATTTGAGCATCTCGTTTGCTTTATTATGTGTATTATTATGTGACTCTTGGATGTGTGTCCAATCTGTGTGACGCAATCATCCGACTTACTTATTGAGGGCAATTTTCATGGATGAACCGTGAGCTCCGCCTCTGTTCATAGCGCCACCGTCTCCAGCCTCAGATTCAGCATAACCACCCGATGACTTCACGTCATCCCACTCCTCGTCCCATTCATCGTCTTCTGCACCTATTAACAGTCATTAGACACAATTGAAACTAAAAAGCACTGTGAGAACCAGGTGTTAGTAAGCCAAACCCGAGTGTCAGGCCAAAGCAGACATGCTAACTAACCTTTGACAAAGCTTTATTGGTCTAGTAGTAGAAATGATGCCACAGCTGTAAATAATATTCAACAATATTATTGATCTGACTGTACTGACACTGTTGTATGAGAACTGAACCGAGTTGGATGATGACATTTTTTCCAGAACTGCTTTATAGATGAAATTAACTAATTTAATAAGCTTTACAACGGAACTGAATCAACACTGAACTGACTTAAGCTGAACAACAGCCTGAAATACATAATTTTTCCTGTTGATCACTTTAAAGCTTCTTCGAAACTATTTGTTTTGTATAAAGTGCTATATAAATAAGTGATTTATTCATTTTCACACAAAAAACATTTCAATATGTTAGTTAGCCACACTGGGGACTCTAGTTAAAGAATACACAATTCACAGCAAGAAAAACCCTTTAAAACAAACACTCCCATACACATACACAACTGTTGAGCTCATGCAAATTGTTATTAAAACCACATCAAAGTCCTTACATGAATTTCATGATTTACCTGAGAGGTCAATAAGACATGGGTAGGGGTAAATATCTTCAGAAAAAAACGAAAAGGTGATTTTATGTTAAAATAAATATCACAAATATCAGTTCTACATATTCTAAAGTACACTAATGATTGTGCAAGTAAAAATATGAAAGTAAATTAACTCGATGAAAGAGTCATCTTGCTTGTGGTAATAAATCAGTTTTCATGGGAAAACCTCTCCAAAACAAATCTACACACTCTGTTTGCCTTGAAGAAACTTAAAAAAAGCTTCATTTTACAGCTTGGAAAAGTTAAATTTCAGCTCCTTATGACTAGAGACGACATCACTGGCAAACTTTAGCCTAACACATGACTCAGCCATAAATTAAATCACGAAACCACAGCCACATTTTCCACACCTAGTTGTAAACAACTTTCATACTTTCATATAAAACAATGCATACTGAATACTTCATATTCCACAAAGCAACTTGGCTTTCCATTTCTGGTGTCGCATAAACCTAAAGTAATATCAGCGATCAGTCTCTTTATATGATCTGACTGCCAAGAGTAAAGAATGTTTTACACAAAACGTTTTGTTCATTAGTGAATATTACCCAATTTAAATGTAATAATACACAGTAAATTCATGTTCCATTAATGGATTCTTCCTCTCTTGTAAGTTGTTTGGGTAATAAAGAATCAGCCAAGAACATCCATGTAACACAATATACAACACTTTGGCTAGAGCCTCCCTGTTTTATAAATATGCTGGACTGAAACCCTTTAAGAGGAATGTAACAGCTCCCGGGAGGAATAAACATTATGCTAAGTATTTGTGCCTTCTGGCTATGGTTTCAGTTTTCCATTTAGGATCTAATCAACAGGACAAAATCATAGAAAGAGACACTGAAATCATTGCAAATATATAACATCCATTAAGACATATTTGTGAACCAGTTTAACTGATTCATTGATCCATAACACATTAACTGATTCATAAACCCATTCAGACATCAAAACAGCTTTTACTCTTCACAAGAGTGAAATTTTGGATAGATCATAACTAGAAAAATGTGAACCCTGAACAACACAGGCTAGCTAAACAGATCATATCATATTCCTTTGGATTCTTTCCCTTATTTTAGTCATTTTCAGGTTTGAGCTGTGGCCTAACAGTTAGAGCACACAGTCTGGGCCTGTTGTTGAGTATTGGCACTCTTGCAGCACACACAAGTTCCTTAATTTTATGTCCTCCTGTCTTTATCCTCCAGAATCCCCCAAATACACATACTGTTTATGTTCTAGTTGCAGTTGTTTAGACCAGTGATGGGTCTTAACCACTAAGCGGCCAAAGCAAACATCCAAGTACGACTTGATTTAACTCTCTGAGGTCTAGTGTGTATTTGGGGTCCTTGAGATGTTTTGAGATGCCCTGAAATTTATGCTTTTTTCAGTTGCTTATAAACCTATTAATGGTACAGGTGAAATTACACAGGGCTACCATAATATGTGAGCAACATGTATGTACATGTTTGTATTTTTGAGAGAATATTGTTTATGCGTGGTTATTGAGGTCGAGTTACGCGCCGCTGCGTTATGCTGTTTCTCCTCCTCTATACAGTAATCTCTCTACTGTGAAGGTTGGAACGAATCGATGGAGAGTCAATTCGTTATGATGCAATCCTTAGCCTATTTTTACAAAAAACTGCTTCTACGGGGCCATAACGTAAGATGCAAGGTAATGAAGCCTTTTATACATTGTCGTGTTTCTTTAAAAATAAATAATGGACAAATTGAGTATTTGGACGCCTCAGATGTAAAGTTATTCGCTGTCAAAGTGACGCCAAAATGAATGGGAGTCAATGGAATGCTAACAGCAGGTGAAGTTCTGCTACAATGGCGGTTCTGCTACTCCCGCGAGGCTTCAACTTCTGGTTGAGAACCAATAATTTAGACTGAACAATCAAACATGGGTTAATTCGATTTGTTACCTGGACCCTGGTAAGCCTGCGGGTGTCCGTGTCCTCCAGAATTCCACGCATTGCTGCTGGTTTTCCCCGTCTCTGTGCCCTCAGGTTGAGCGGGCCAGTTATTAGAAACCCCCCCAGAGGCATTATTGTCAAACGCTGCCCATGGGTCATTACCATTACTTGTCTGAAAGAAGGAAAAAGAACAACAATTTTACAATTCCTCAATTATCATAATTGGTAAAAAACAAAACACATTAAATAGAAGCATTTTCCCTAATGGCTTCAGACCAAAAAAAAAAAAAAAACTCTTCAATTCTTTTCCACAGGATGGCAGAAGTCAGTCACAAACAAACAGGGAAAACAGCTAAGTGATTCTGTGCATTTAAATCACGTTCAGCTGGTTCAGGTCAGCCACACGATCTTTTGACCTGTAGATCGTATACATTATAAATGCACATGCACATCTTTCATAACACGAACCACATGTATTGTTTGCCTTTATGTTGAACATGCGTTTTTGACCATTCCCTACCAGTGAAAAGGTGCGTCTTTTTATCTGTAATACTTTCCAAAAGGAAAAAAGCCCACTCACATCCAATGATAAGTGCTCTAATAACCTTTGGTTGTTACTATTAGCCTGAAAACTCTATTTGGCCAGCTATTTTCAGATGTCAGTCAATACAAGGACTTCTAAAGAGAGCCCACGAAATAGGAAATGTTGAATAGAAAGTGATGTTTACCTTCCAAAGATGGATGCTTTGACTAGTCAACACTGAACAATCGAATCTCAATGGACCTCTGGCTGGCCTTGATGACAACAAAAGCCCAGAGCCACAGAGAAAGAAACCATAAGCTCTGTGTTTCTGAATCATCATCTGGCCGCCCACACACATCATCCAGACCTCATTCATGGTATATTCCCATCATAAATCAATAACACATCTGAGAAACTCTAAGCACAAGTGATTTCTGACAAATGCATGTCATGAGAGCTGCAAATATCATTTTTATTTTACCAGAGTCGACAACAGAAATGCAGACAAAGTCCAACACTAGCCTATCGGTTTAGTTTCTACTTATTTGCTCATGCAAAACCCACGTCATGCATCGAGAATGTGGCACCATGCTGCGAAAGACGGTTTAAGAAAGTGTTTAGGTGTGTTTATGTGGATTGGATTCATGTGTGTCTGGAATTAGGAAATGTTTGTTTTCCTCCTCATCTGTAAGTTGCTTTGGATGAAAGTGTCTGCTAATGAAAATTAAAAATGTAATAAAGTGCATTTACAAAACTTAATTCAATAGAGGGCATGTTTTGAGCTCATGAACACGGTTTATAATTTAGTTAGAAGCCAGTACAAGTGGCTCAAAAAGCAGTCTAGATCATTTAAAAACTTGATCACAGGACAGCTTTTAGTTCAGTTCAACAAGCACATGAAAAATTAAACCGTGACAAACAGAAATTAATTTTAAAAAGCAAATTCTGCAACATAAATCAGCTATCCAACATATGACAAAATCATTGCATTTATGTTTTAAAATCTGGCAACCTGTGATGTGATCATTTAGTGCTGATCAGTTTGATTGATGTGTGATTTTGTAGTGCGCTCAATGGGGTCTGATTCAATCTGAATGCATTCAGACCCCAAGAACAGGGTGTTTATATGTTGGTCTTGTTAGTGAGGGCTCCAGGATTAAACCCTCTGAATCCATCATGCCAAATTAATTTAGGGTACCTCATCTGGTGAGGTGGAAGAGAAGCCTGGGGTAACTGGGGCGACTGGGGTTTCCGGCTGAGCTACATCCACCTTAGGGGAAAGACGTGACATCATCATAAAGCGCCTGAAAGGGAAGGGTTACCCTGATGACACTAAAGTCAACATCTTCCCTTATCAAACCACTAATTTTCTCAATAGCGCACAGCTGAGACCTTCACGCATACACTGAAGGGTTTAAAATGGAGACAGTTTGAGATATATATTATTCATCAAATGGTTTTGAAAGCCGAGTGCTGACTAATAGACAATCATGCAATTTCAACAATCAGCGTCCACTTGATTTATGACGTCTCACTCTCAGACAAATGTTTGTTTCATCAAACCTCAAACACAACTTAAGCAATTACTATATATACATACAGTATTTCACTACTTGACCCACCCAATAAAAAAATGTCTCTTGAGAGAGCTGACTACTAATTACAGATCACAGGGAAGTCTGTGGTTAACAATGCCACACATTTGAATATGACTCATAAATATCTTGCATTTCTGCTGGTTTCACATCTGTTATCAGTGATCATCGAGCACATGCAGACTACAGATAGGTTAAAGTCTGTCCCTTGACTGATCAATCAGCTTCAGGCTTTGAGATAACACCATAAGGAACTATTTATCATCAGGTGGTGTTTTTTTCAGTTTTGATTAAACATGATATATCATATACACTTCAAGGTACTAATGGTATAAGCTTTTGAAACTTTAAGACAACCTGAAATCAACATTGATCCTAAATACAGACTCAAAAAAATTACTTTAATCAAAATATGCTTATATCAACAAGAAAGTGTAAAGTGCTTCTGACCTTAAGTGCACTTAATTGTATTTAATTAAAAGAACATTGCATACTGAAATTCTTATATTAAAAAAAAAACAAGTACTTGAAGATAAAATATAACTGAAATAAAAGGCCACTTAAGTGTATTTAAGAGTACACTTTGATAAAACACTTGTAATATCGTCAAAATAAACATTTTTTTATTTTATTTTTTTTACAAGGGTGCCGTGGCTATGATGCATTGGGCAGTTGCCAGGGCTTTGCCAAGGTTCAATACATTTCACCATAATCAAATCATGATATCATTTCCTGCTGAATGTTCTGAAATGAGTCACTTTAAATGGAAGCGTAATGAAAGCTGTTTCATGTTGGATTTAATAATGGTAAAAACTATAAAAACGGAGCCAATTTTGTGCAACAGAAAGCGATAGTTGTCCAACAGCTTGCCACTCATCAAAATACTGCTGATCAAATCATGGTTCCTCAGAAAAACAAAGCAGCATATACAAAGACTTCAGCCCACTCAATGAAACCCTCTATCTCAGCACCGAAAGCAGTACCTCAACTAGTCCAATCACTTTGTCTTGAACTTTAATTAAAAATCATCATCCTCCACATTTGGCCCCTGATCCTCAGAATAAGCAACACAGGATGTTTTATCCTCAGTCTTAGAGTTTGCTTGCACACACATTTTTACATTCTGAGTAAGACATTTTATGCTTGGGTATAGGAATCTCCCTTCCTGCTCACTTCCTCTCAGGATGTTACACAGCGGGAGAAATGCACCGAGAAGGACCGTTACACAGAGAATGAACAGCGTGTTTTGGACACGATAAATAAAACCGAATGCTTTACGTGCAGCATCAGTCAACAGACTCACTTAAACATTCACATGGGAAATTTCCCATCATTCTCATTGGCTTACCGGTGCAGTGCTGGCTGTAGTGGCTAGGGTCGGCATGTGACTGTCAAAGAACGAGAGGTCGAGGGCGGCAGCATTTCCTCCAGAAGTAACTCCTCCAGAAGTAAAAGGTTGAGCCGGGTTAAGCTAGAAGAACATGAAGAGACAAAGAGTCAAATAAGACAAGTGTCCTGGTACACCAATTCTGACTTTGTTCATTTGAGGCTGAATGTAACTCATGTCATATTTTATAGTATAATGGTATAGATAATAATCATAGTTTCTCATATAATATAATTTAAGATAAATTATAATAATGATTGTTATTAAGTATTTACTTTTCTCTGACCCCTGAAATTTCCTCCCCAAAGAATCTGGTATCTGGTAAGCAATGTTTAGGATATAATATCTCATGCATTTTGATCGCTGGTTTCATATAAATCAGTAGATGCTAGTGATCCACGATATATCGGCCGCCATATCGGTATTGGCCGATATATGTTAATTTTTAGTATTATCAATATCGGCCTGATAAGAAAATTAGGCCGATATATATTAAAGTTGATAATTAATGTATTATTTCCTTCAGCTGAGACGCTTCAGATGCACTGTTCAACATGATGGTTTGGAATTGCTTGAAATATGATTGGAAAAAAAATGAAAATACAGTTTAGTGCAGCACAAGTCTGTCATATAGTCCATGTAAACTACATGATGTGATTGGGATATGGATTTTAATGGTGAGACTTTTGTTTTTGTAATCAGACTCTCAAAAATGACATCAAAATTTGGATTTAGATTTATCGGCCAATATATCGGTTATCGGCTTTCAAGTATAAAGAATTATCGGTATCGGCCAAAATGTTCATATCGGTGCATCCCTAGTAGATGCATAGACAAACTTGTTCCTTTCAAGTCCAAATAGTGCTAAGTCTTCTAAAGGATCAAATATTTTCATAAATGGCTGCCGAAGTTGGAGAAAAAGTGAAACATTTCGAGACACAGGTGTTATTGAGGCCTTAGATGCATCTATAAAAAGGCCAAGGATATACTACATTTTTCTTGATCTTCAAACATAAGCCTTGATTGACTTTGTCATTTTTAGTCCTTATCATGCGAAAAATGTGTAGCTGGGTGTGGTAAAATATTTCACTCATTTTGCCCATTGAAGACATCACTTGATATGAAAGTTCGGTCCAGGTCATGGCTATTTTTCCCCCTCTACTTTTCATTTATAAAAGTAGCAACCCATTCTACTTCATTTTAATAAAACTTCAGAATCCAGCAATGGAAAACAGCTTTGGGTGAAATTTGGAGAAGTGTGAACATGTGTGGTCAGTTGTTTGGCTCTGAGAAAAGAGAAATGAAGGAAGCACGCGTGTTTGTACGATAGTGCAGCTGTGAGTTGAGGTCAGGAGGGAAATCTAAATGCATGTCTGTTGCCAGCAACAGGCAGAATCACTACACAGCCTATTTATACAGAGAGTAAACTGTTTACCAGCTCTCCATGTGCATTACTGCCTCAGGATGCCTTTATAATGTGATTTTATTCAGCTACACAGAATGACGCACCTTGACACAAAGTTACTGTTGCACTGAAAGTGTAGATTTTGTAATGGTTTTGTAGCTTCATTTTCAATAAATGAAATTGCAGGAACTCCTATTTCAGATGTTAATGTTACATAGGGTTCCCACACCTTGATAACTTCAAATTTAAGGACCTTTCAAGGACTTTCCAGGTCCAATACCCACTTAATGTGGGGACACATTTGTTTTGTCCAACAATAAACGTTCAGGTACCATCATAGTAGTTTCATGCATGAGTGAACGTCAAGGCAACGTATAAAACACAAAGTACCCCACGCGGGAAACACTTAACGTACTGCCTAAATGTGCGTAACTAACGATAATCAAGCAAAGCTAGTGTGCATAGGCCACGAAGTGTTGGCGAAATAACATATTAGTGGACCTGAATAATATAATATGGATTTTTTTCCCCAGAAAAGCACTTTCAAGGACCTGTATCTATGTATGTTTATTTTCAAAAACTTTCCATGGCCTTAAATATTTTTTTTCCTGATTTACAAACTTTCAAAGATTTCAAGGACACGTGGAAACCACACTAGTAAAACTATTCAGCCTTAAAGGGTTAATTTACCCTAAAATAAAAATGAAGTTATTATTTACTCACCCTGGTGTTGTTCTAATAATTTCTAATCATGTTTTATGCCTTCTTTCTTTTACGGACCACAAATGGAGGAATTAAAAAAGACTAAAGCTTTTTAAAAAAGGTGCAATAGTATCACAGAATGATCCCATGCGACATGTGTCGTATATCCCAAGTTGTCTGGGCGTATACAATACGAAATGAAAAATATTATGGAGCAAAAATCCTTATCTTGGCCATTGGTCTGTGCACGGCTACAAGACTTGTGCGTTTGTGTGACTCGTGTTCACTCTTTCTCGCCTAGAAAAAGTACACAGGTTGTGAGAAATCAAGATGAAGACATGAAATACAAAGCCTAGTGAAGAAAGTACATGGGTACATTTTGGGATTTCTGAGTTAAATATCTTCGGACCAGAACTCTTGTTAGGGACCAGAACGCGAAAACTTCTTGTTACGAAGATATATTCACCTCAGACAAGAAAGTACATGAATCATGTTTCATGTTGTGTTTTTGTTAATCATGATTTCTCACATCTTTTTCTGGGCAAGACGGAGTGAAATTGTAAGTGAGTCATATGCTGAATACCAAGAGCCAAGGTCTGGATTTTCGTTCAATAATAGAATTTCATATCATACATCCCCAGAACACTTGGCATATACAACATGTTGCATGACATCATTCTGTGATACTTTTGTGTCTTTTTAAAAAGCTTGATGGTGGATGCTATTCACTGCCATTATATGGACAAGTACGAGCAGGAGATTTTTTTCTTTATTCTCCTTTTCTGGTCCATAAAGGAAAGAAGGGCAAATGAGATTAAAACAACACCAGAGTGAGTAGTTAATGACTTAATTTTCATTTTACGGTGAACTACCCCTTTAAGCCTGGAATTGAACACTATACTAATACACTTTAACTCTGGCAGGCCACAGGAAAAGAAATCACATCCTGTTGAACAAACAGGTCACATTCCAGCAGCGATCGTTTCTCTGTCCTTTTGGTCATAAAACACTGCAATGTGTGTATTTGTCCATGAGAGAGACAATCATAATATACTTTATCATACATGGTGCACGCCTAATACATTGCCTAAGCAATTAATCGGCTAATATTTAGCTAATATTTTGAATAGGAGTTGATAAAGAGAAACCTGAACTTTGAAATTATATTAATAATAGTTTCAATATTTTTTTTTGTTGATTTTTAGTATTTATTGTGTAAAATAAATGAAGAGTTCAGATGCAAAAGCCTCTAAATGCCATTTGAAATTTTCTTCTTTAATGATGATTTTTTATCAAACTTGTATATTTAAGTTCAGTAATTTCATTTAAATAACAATTAATAGGTAATTTTCATCACCATTTAAGTGAAATTACTGAACTTAAATATACAAGTTTGATAAAAATCAGCATTAAAGAAGAAAATTTCAAATGGCACTTAGAGGCTTTTGCATCTGAACTCTTCAAATGTTATTTTATCTTATTATAGCCCTCACCAAGGCTGCATTTATCATAAATACAGAAAAAACAAAAATATAATTATTTTTTTAAGTTACTTTTTGAATATATGTTAATTTAAATTGTAATTTATTCCTGTGATAGCAAAGATGCATGTTAGCATCATTACTCTAGTCTTTAGTGTCACATTATCCTTCAGAAATCATTTTAATATCCTGATTTGCTGCTCAAGACATTTCTTATTATTATTAATGTTGAAAACAGTTTAATATTTTTTTTATAAAACTTCAAAAGAACAGCATTTATAATCAAAATAATATTTTGCAAGTGTCACTTTTGATCTTATTTAATGCCTCATTGCTGAATAAAACTTAATTTCTTTCCAAACAGACCAAACTATTAGAGAGTAGTGTGTATATACACATGACAAATCCTTTTAGAGGAACACTGCTTACCTCTAAATAGTCCTCTGGTACTAATCCAACATCTCCTCTAGAGTTCCTTGCCTCGATCCATCCTCCTCCGATGTTCTGGGAACAGAAGTGAACGGATCAGCTTTACATTACATGCAACATCTCAGAGCAGACATGGAAGAGCCAGGTGTTATGAAACATTATGCAAGTGAAATAAACTCACCTGATTGGTTATTGTGATTGTCTCACCCTCTCGGACCGACAGCTCATTATTCCCAGGCTCTGCCGAGAAATCATATAAAACCTGTGCCTGTGTGGAGGTAGAACAGTAAAAGTAAAGCACATGCATATTCAGACACCAAATGTGTTAGGACATGTTAGCAATCATTAATGGAATAGAACCAGCTAGACTTGTTCGATTGGATTATTTTGGACCACATTAAGAGCACAGGACATCAGCAGTAACCTAATGGTTAATGTTTAACTCACACTGTTTCTGGAACCAATGAATGATCATTGGAAATCAAGAGTGACTTAAATGAAAACTGTCAAGAAATCTATGGTCCATTTAGAACGAATTCATAATGTATACATTTTAATTATAAATTATATATCATTCAAAGAAACTGAGGCTTATTTTAGGACAATTGCATTGTGAATTTCAATCAGTTTCCCCACAATCTAAATATATGCAATGCCAAAAATTAATCACATTTTTAATAATTTTTTTTTTAAAAAAAGCTTAATAAAAAAAAAAATATATTAATTAAATTTGAAGTGATTATTATACATCACTGTAGTATTAGTTATACTGAATTTAATTTAATACTGAGTTTAAATTATTTTGCTGGGGGTAAACGTTCTTAAATGTCATTAAAATAACGTCACTTTATTCCGCAATGAATTTTCCTCGGGCAACGCTCTATTAACACTAAGTGAAAATAGAGAGAATATAATATTTAGATTTTAGATTAAAGAATTAACGATTAATCGCATCCAAAAAAAAGTTTGTGTTTACATAATACAGTATATGTGGCTCCACTGTGTATAATTATTTTGTGTATATATATATACATATATATATAGTACACACACATGCATGTTTCTTTAAGAAAGAAATATTATTTATATATAATTTAAGATACATTATTTATATATAATTTAAGATATATTATTTATATATATTTATTTATAAAATATTGATATTTAAATATAATAAAAATTATATATAAATCTATACACAGTACATATATGAAGATATTTCTTAAATATATACAAGCATGTGTGTGTGTGTGTGTGTGTATATATATATATATATATATATATATACACACACAATTATACACAGTTAAACACAAACTTTTATTTTGGGTGCGATTAATTACGATTAATCGTTTGACAGCCCTAATTTAAATAGAATATTTTCTTAGCGATAGATTCTTTTTACACAGTTTAAATAGCAATAGATTCTATTTACACCAAGTAAAAACAGCAGCATTTTCTTAGCGATATGCTACTTACACTAAGCGAAAATAGTGATAGCAAAAATAGCAGTATTTTCTTTGTAATAAGTATAAAGATAGTATTTCTGCTATTTATAGCCTACTTATAAATAATAGCAGAAATTGGACCTCGGTGTTGTACATTAAACAGTATGCAATAATAATAGAGAGTGTAAATTATTACATTTATTAAAATTATTAAATGGAAACCACCTTATTAGGGCAATAAAGCCCTCCCTATACCGGGCCCTTACCCTAAACACTTTAATATTAAACAAACATTAGACAGTTTATTTACACTTTTCAAATATGTTCTTAATTTGTATTAAATACAAATGCCTTTTTGATTTTATGTGTGATGGGTAAAGGGATTAGAGTGAGTTCAGGTTGATTTGTGTAAAAAATTTCTCCACACGCTTACCCCATACACTCCTGCTACTGTTAGCATTGTAGCATCTCACGTAATCGTGTCTGACCCAACCAGACATCAAGTGGGTGGAGTTACTCTAAATAGCCTCGCCCAACAAATCAGGCTATTTGCACTTTAAAAATTATAACATTATATATTCTTTTGGTGTGAACCTGGACATTTTGTCATGAGATTCATCCATACGGTACTGACCTGAGCATGTTTCTGTGATAAAACTAAGCATACAAATGATCACAAAACAGAATCATTCCACCATACAAAGAGAGGAAAAGACACTTTCCACAAAGCTCCCGTTATTCTAACACACACAGAGCCAACACAGAAACACACACATCCTGAAGCTAACGAAACAGCAAACAGTGAGGTCTGTATGAACAGTTAGACAGGGCCTCTCTCTGTAGGGATTCAAAAGAGACGACTCAAACACAGAGAGTCTGTGTGTGAGAAACTTCACTTCTGATTCAAATAAAATCACGGCCAGTGATGGATGGACCACTGTCTGATGCCATTGCCAAATGTCCATGACCATTTCCACAACAAGTCTTCAAGTAGAAAACTAAGTGATGAATTGAAATTACGATGTGCAAGTCAAAAGGAGGAAGTAACATGAGGACTAGAGATCAAATTGCTGAGAAATTCATAAAGACGGGATTGACAAATCATCTTTGCAGCAGAAGTGTGCTCATACGACAGCATGTGTCTGAATCCCTCCATCATTAGAAACATCCTCATATAGACAGTCAAGGGAGCAGGGCTAAATTAAGGACTAAACTAAGCTTATTATATCACAACTAAAAGAAAAGGCAAACTAAAAGATAAGACAAAGCTTGCATATGACTAGAACAATTTCAAAACCTCACAACAACTTATGTGTAAATGCAGCTCACGTAGAATGCAGTCATTTGATTTAGGTGACATTAAGGTGAATAATAAAGACAGTCCTACATTTAAGTCACATTTGGCATTTTGATTCCAGTATTGGCTTAATTGTGAGGTTTTTTTTTCTTCACTCCGTTGTTAAAAAAAACATCCAGGTAGAATTTCAACAGAATTTCCTTTTTTTCCCCATTCAAAATTTAAATGCCTGTAGTTTTACAGATATTTTGTGTAATATTAAGTTTTACCATTAAAATTAGAGGCAATTAATCAACATAAAAATATAATATGATATTAAATATTATTGTTTTAAAGACAATTTGTAGTATTTTTACATAATAAAATTCTGTATTTGTTTGTCTATTTGTCTGATTGTGATAAAAACATTAACAGTAATTTAACATAACATAATTTAACAAACATAAACAGTAATTTAAATGTGTGTATATATTGTACTGTATGTATGTATATATATATGAAGAGTTCAGATGCAAAAGCCTCTAAGTGCCATTTGAAATTTTCTTCTAAAATGATCATTTTTATCAAGCTTGTATATTTAAGTTCAGTAATTTCACTTAAATGGCAATGAAGATTACTTATTAATTGTCATCTAAGTGAAATTACTGAACTTAAATATGCAAGCTTGATAAAAATGGTCATTATAGAAGAAAATTTTAAATGGCATTTAGAGGCTTTTGCATCTGAACTCTTCATATATATATATATATAATATATATTCATTACATGGAGAATTTACACGTATATAGGTAACTAGTTAGTTATTATTAACTAATCTTGGTGAATGATTTACATTTTACCTACATATCCCAGCATGCATCACAAATGACGTCATGACCCCACTAAAAATGTCACAAGACTCTTAATGATCCATATTTTTCCAACGTTCAGCAGAAAGCCCGTAAACACCGTAAAAATAACAAAAAGAGAACATTTCAGACCCATTTCAGGGTGTTAAACAGGTCGGTTATGATGTTTGAGACAGTTCTAAACACTTTACACTAAATTTATCGGCGTCTGTTTGGAAATACTTTGCCAGTTCAAGCCCAGTGTGATCTCAGAGCAAAAAAATATATACAGACAGACTTTAACCAAAAACACGTCAAACAAGTCCTTACCTTCGACTCCATTATACAAACATTAACCAGTCATCACAGAAACCTGTAGTTTAATGGCGATAAGTTCTCCTCTTCTTCATCCAGACATTTCTCAACTGCCAGAAACGATTCTTCCCAAACTAGTTTATTTACATCACCAATAACACTTAATCCTCTTGTTCGACCCTTAACAGACTTAAATCAAGCGGGTCAGTAATGTGAGTAAATCCAAACTCGTCGTTTTTCCAGCTGCTCAACTTCACTGCAGCTGAGTGTGTGTTACACATAAAAGACACAACCGGAAACTGATCGAGCCCCCTCAAAAAAAAAGAAGAAAAAAAAAAGCCAAACTGCTGCTGAATGCGTGTGTAGGGCCAAAAAAAAGTGTTATTAAACATAATAGTTCAAATGGTATTTACATTTTATCTATAATACATAAAACATAACAAATATTTCATGTTATGGTTATCATACAGTAGTATAGGCTATAAAATATACTATATTCACGATATATCGTATATAGGTTACGTCATAGTCTAAGAATATTAAATTAACATTAAACATGTTCTACTGTTAAATAAACAACATAAATACATAAACAAAACAAAGTCTGATATGTTCAGGTATTTCAGTAGTTTTTTTACGAAATGCTTATAGAAAAAAACACACAAACATTAACAGCAATTATTGTCATTGTCTTAACAAAATACAACAATACTCCAGAGTCCTTCAGTCTAGATTTAGTTCCTTCAGTCTTTCCAGATTAAGTGACAAAGAGCCACTCTTATAGCTTTTAAGATTTTAGAGAACTCAAAATATTCAAAATACCTGTTTTGTTTCAAGTTTAAATCTTAAAAAAGAGGATTGTATTTTGAAAATGTTAGTAGTTTGGTCCACAGATGTTTTAATGATTACGTCAGCTTTTGTCAACAAGTTCAAACTCAGTGAGTGGCGGGCCCAGTACCAGAGCGGCCTCTAGTGGAAATGAGTTATATTTCCAAAATACACGACAGCGGGGGAAACTGTTTTGAAAGCCAGTACAAAGAAAGTCGTTTTCTGAAAATGGGCGTTGCTTATATTTCGTTATTTATTTTTAATGATTTAGTTTATATGTAATGTTTTTTTTATATTTATTTATTTCACTTTATTTCAATTCATGCTGATTGAATGCGAATGTATTGCCTTTGTGTAGCTAACTTATTTGAAGAAGTTTAATAAATGTTTTAGATAGATAGATAGATAGATGACTGATTTCATGATACATTATGGCCATGCACTCTTACTGTTTTCAAATAATATATAATAGTATAAATATAAAAGATTAAAAAAAAGGTAATTGGTCTATAACCAATTCCAAAAAAAATAAAATAAAATAAATCATTTACAATAATTTAGTTTTAATTAAATGAATTACATTTTAATCAGATGTTTAATCTACAAAGTATTTATTTACTTATGTACATATTTATTTGTATTAATCTATCTCTTTTATGTTTTTTATTGTTTCGTTAGTTTAACCAAACAATCCCTCATATCCATTTTGTGTATCTTAACCATTTTAAAGCTTAATTTATTTAAATTTTTTCACTTGTGCATGCTTATTCCATTCAGTTATGTGAACTTATTCTATTCCTTCTTTCTAAAACATTCTTTCTATTCTTTTCATTTTTATGATAGCCTTTTCTTTTTTACAGTTGACCGCTGTTCCTTTGCTTTGACAGGATTCTGAAAGGGCAAAACCGAAAAGAAAAGAAAAAAACATTTACTTTAGCTTATGTAACATAATTTATGAATCTCTGCCATAGTAAGGAATTACTAATTGCTACAATTCTATGCTGGCTGTTCACTACGTCTCAAAAATAAATAGTCAGTTTTGTATGTAATGCTTATTGTTCACTTCTAAAGAACATGAAAGGTGCTTTTGATTGTTGATGGCAACCTCTCTTGTACTCCTTTTAGCCTTTATGTTTCCCCATCAGGTGATGTGGAACCTGATTCACCAGAGTGAGAGGAGGAGTGACTCCGGTGAGGGGGGACGGGTCACAGACCACTTACAAAGAGTTCTGTTCAAGTGCACTACTGAGCAGTTTAATGTACACTGTCTTCTCAAACATCTGACACAAAGACTTGAAAAGGTAACATGGGCCTATTATCTCTTGTCCTGCTCTTGCTTTCAGCCCAGTGGTCCTGCGCTCAGGAAGACCCTCTTCTACCTTTCTCTGAACACCTGGACCCCGAGCACAATGTGCGGCTGAAGTGGGGCTTTGATGAGATCCAGGGCACCATCTTGTTCGAGCTCACTGTCAACACCAGCGGCTGGGTCGGGTTTGGCTTCAGCCCTAAAGGAGGAATGACTGGAGCCGACATCGTCATTGGAGGAGTCGGACCGAAAGGCAGTTACTTCACGGTAAAGTCCAAAAAGACTGACACTCACAACTGTCAAAGGATACTTTTATATTCTTCTGATTCATTTATGCATTTCAAATTTAGTTAGAGTATCTCTTACAAAAATTATTTTAGTCTTTCACATTATCAAGATTCAAGACTGATAACTGTCAACTCACTTCAAGTGGAGTCACAAGCTCTCCTTTATATTCTTGATTCTGATTCATACTGAGTGATATGTAATTAATATGTCGTTCATTCAATTAGAGTCAAGACAAAGTCTACTTTTGTATTAGACGTATAAGTTAAATTATATTTTTTTCCAAGCTAGAAATTCTAAATAGATGTAAATGTAAATTAATCTGATATTGTAAGTGTTTTGGCCTATTGAAAACTATAAAACTGGTTTGAACTGGATTTGGGAACTGTATATCTATGAACATGAAGACAAACACCTGTTGCTATGCTTACACACATTCTTTTTGTTCAGGACCGTAATGCTGTGGGGAATTCAATACCTGTGGTTGACCAGCAACAGAACTACAAACTCCTGTCTCTAACCGAGTCAGACGGGAGAACGGTCGTGAAGTTTCAGAGATCTATTGAGTCTTGTGATGAAAAAGATTTACCCATCACTGTGAGCATATGTGTTTCTTCCCCATACCACTAGGAAAGAGTGATTTAACAACACCATGTGACCCTCCTCTTTCTTGTATGTAAGATATATTCTGTAGTTTTATTCTGAAAACAATGATGGTGAATGACATTGTTGACTAAACAAACAAACAAAACAAAAAAAACAGCAATGTAAGGGAATCCATCATGGCGGTCTACGGGGATCAGGGTGTATCTGAAAACGCCTCTCCACAAAATGCTTCTCCTGTTTGTCAAGAGGCTCTCAACTGTCCTTCTAAAAACCCTTCTTAACTCAGAAACCATAAATTACTATAAACAAATAGCTGTTATCAATGGCCATAGGCACACGGCAAACTTCTGTGCATTCTGTGCACTTCTGTGCATTGTTGTGTAGGTGGCCAAAGAGCTTATTTTCCATTTAGAGATCACGAAAAGTGTTTTTTTTTTATTGTTTTTTTTATTGCATGATCAGAATCTTCCCATGAAGCTGATCTATGCGTACGGACAGAGTGATGACATCGTGTACCATAATAACCGAAGGGGAACGAAAGAGGTGAACCTGTTGAAGTACATGCCTCGTGTCAGTCCTCCAAACAGCAAGTATTTCGACATGACTATGGCCAATGTAAGAGATTTCTATTTTTTCTTTTTGCCTGAAATTTCATTTACAATTCATTTACTATACAGTTACAATCCAGTAACAATTATTGTCATTTAATATTGCAAAAATTATGCCAATAAATTAGATTATAAAGAAGAAAGTAGGCTACTGGATGTTTAAGTCCTTTCAACTTAAATTACGTTAAACTGAGTTTTTGCCAATCATTATTACGTAGGTAGGTGTTACATATTTGGGTCTTCAGCAACCCGGATATATATGAAGAGTTCAGATGCAAAAGCCTATAAATGCCATTTAAAATTTTCTTCTAAAATGATCATTTTTCTCAAGCTTGTATATTTAAGTTCAGTAATTTCACTTAAATGGCAATGAAGATTACTTATTAATTGTCATTTAAGTGAAATTACTGAACTTAAATATACAAGCTTGATAAAAATAGTCATTTTAGAAGAAAATTTCAAATGGCATTTAGAGGCTTTTGCATCTGAACTCTTCATATATACACACAAAGCTTTATTTTCAGTCTCCTGTGTCCCGTGATCCTTCAAATCAATTAGCCTATATGCTAAAAGTTGGCTATTAATTTCTTATTTTTTAAATCACCACAAACGTATCAGTGTTAGCCTACTGAAATATTGATCTCAAAACTCGGCAGCAATCATGAAAGAAAAAAAAAGTGAGTGTGAACTTACATTTAAAATCATTTCAGTTCTCTGTACCAGCCAATCAAACCTACTATCACTGCAAGATCATGAGAGCCCCGACTTTTGATCGCAAACAACACATTTATCGTGTAAGTGAGTCTATGAACTTCACACACATGATCTATCCACGATCTGTCGATCATTTTCATCTCTGACTTACTTTCCTCATCTCCAGATTGAGCCGGTCATCACAAACTTCGACCTCGTGCATCATCTGCTGCTGTACCGCTGCCCGCCGAGTGTGACGCAGCCATTTGAAGTGGCATGTTACGCGGGCGACGGGCAAGAGTGTATGGAGACCGTTGGCGTGTGGGGAGTTGGCGGAGGGGTTAGTTAGTCTCTCTTGTTGTGAATGTAGTTTTATAGCATTTTCATGTGAGAAACAACCAAATTTAAGCAATTACTCAAAGCTGGCTCACTGAAAATATCTGCTTTTCAATTTTTATAAATAATATTAATTACTTTATTATTATTGAAATAGCCTAGCCTACTATTCATTAATATGCACATCTTGAGGTAAAATTTGGACTGAAGCTCTATAATTATATTATGTTTTTCAAGGCTTATGAACTCCCTGAGATGGTAGGACTTCCAATTGGAGGAAATGTTGGAGATTTTTTCTACAGGCTTGAAGTGCATTACAACAACCCGAATAAAATTGCAGGTCAGTCTGTAGTGCTTTACAATGTAAAATATCACACTGTGATGAATAAAGTCAGCATGAAACAGAAGATGTGATAGTCTTGTCTTCTCTATTGTGATTTGTGACTAGGCTTATCCGACTGAAACGGCTTCTCGAATGGGTGACTTTGTGGTTTGCTATAAAGCGCAATAGTCAGGTTCCTGAAGGAAAAACTAAATTATATTAAACATTTTTATCTGCGGAATTCGTGAATTCATGTTAGTGACAGGTTGTCCCTCTTTTGATTTCATGATGACATAGTAAAACAATACTTTCTTCTCTATACAGGTCGAGTTGATAACTCGGGTCTGCGATTCTATTACACATCTGAACTCCGTCAGCATGATGCAGCTATTCTGATGACAGGACTTGGTGTGTACCCTGGGTACGCCATCCCACCCAAAGCTAAATCCTTCCTCACGTACGGCCTGTGTGACACTGCCTATATTCCACAGGTATGCATGTGTTAGCTACTCACTTTCTCACAATCAAAGGCAGACTCAGCAGGTCACTAGATGATCGCTTGTGTTCTGTTATCTACAGGTTCTGGAGACACCAAATGATCTTCAGGTGTTTTCTGTGATGTTGCACACACACTTGACTGGACGGAAGGTGCGAGTCGGACACTTCAGGTACATGTCTTCTGATCAATAACTGAATTAAAGTTCACCTGAAAATAATGTGTGCTTTTCTTTCGTTCTTCTGTGGTGCATAGCCTAAAGTTACCTTTTTAAATTAATTAAAATTATTTATTTTTTTTTACAAATTATTATTTTTTGTAAATTCTTATCCTCTTCAGAGGGGGAAAACAGATCGATCTTCTAGCCGTGGATGAAAACTACAATTTTGAATATCAGGATGTGACAATCTTGGGCAAAACTAAGACAGTGAAGTTGGTTAGTGCAAAAAGATATAAACTTACTGTATAACTATATATATATATATATATATATATATATATATATGTATAATGTATATACACATACACTCACATATATTGGCAGTAAGAGATATAGAGCAACTTTTTTGTCTTGCAGGGTGACCAATTGCTGGTGGAGTGCACATATAACACTGAAAACCGTGCCACACTCACATGGGTTAGTACATTTACATAGAGACTCATAGTGTCTTTTATTCAGCAGCATGTAGTTTCAGTGTTGGGGAAAGTTGACTAATTGTGTTACTAATTACTAATTAATAGTACGGAATTACTTTTTATATTACTTTCTCAACTGGGCTGGGCCTCCTTGTTTGTATTTTAATAACAAAAAAAGTTATATTTTTGGCAAATGTAATGGCCCTTTCACACTAAAAGTGAAATGAAGGAAATGCCACTGAACCAAACCTTTAAGCTGTGCTGCCATTCTGGATTGCAGAAGAATAATACATACTTCAGCAATAAAAACAAACAAACAAACAAACAAAAAAACAAATGTGATGTTTATCTTAAGTCATTTTTGCTTAGTATGGCTGAATTGGATCATCAAAGGTCAGCAGCAAAGACATTGGTTCATACAGTGAGATTAAACACAAAGTATATTAGTGTTATTTTACATTATAATTATTGCAGGTTTGCATTTCACTGTTTTTATTTATTTTGAGGATTTTTTGTGCAAGTGATATGAGTAAATGCTCACATTTAGAACTACAATAAGCATCATGTTCACAGCGCACACAAATATTTCTTTCAAGAGGTGTCAGTAAATAATGTTCAAATAAAGTAACCTGCATTACTTGGAAAAAGTAACTCGGATATTTTGTATTTTAAATTTAAAAGTAATGCGTTACTTTATTAGTCACTTGACAAAAGTAATCTGATTACTGGGGGGAATATGGGTGTGTAACTCTCTTTTTCTGCCCACAGGGGGGGTTCTCAACTCAAGAGGAGATGTGTTTGGCTTTCCTCTTCTACTATCCAGCTATGAATCTGAGCAGTTGTGTGAGCTTCCCTAATTTACAGACATTAGGATCTGCAATGGGAGCAACAAATACAACGTAATCTAATTTAAAACATTGTTTTAATGCATTTAGCTCTCAATATTTGCCCTAATGAGAATGTGGCTTTTATTTTATAACTTTGCAGTACCTGGCTCAATATGATGTACATGAACACTTGGAATGACATGTCTATCAATCAGTACCAACAAACACTGAAGAGAGTTGATCAACTAGTCTTAGTTGCTGATTCATTTGTAAGTGTACACACCTCTACTATAGAGCATCACAGTCCCGCCCACAGCCGGTGCCGGAAGGAAGAATTCAATGCAATTTCTCCATTGACATTTGAGATATAAGCCATTAACATAACCATACATGGACTTAAAACCAACTACGGCTGTACTGAGCGATTGTATATGCTCATATAAACAACAAAAGTTCAAGATAAATGCTTTAATGTTTTAATTCGCGATGTCTTGGATAAGTACTTCATTACCCACAATCCCGAACAATCCCACAGTGATGCATCTGATTGGTGGAAGTCCTGTAACCATAGATATCTATATAAAGGCAAGCTATCTCGTCCGCGCTGCTGGCCAATGGAGGTCGACGTCAGCACCTGGCGGCCATCTTGTCACAGGCAGCTCGCTCACTGGTAACAAGATTTGTTTTAATGGTGCATGTACTTTTTAAATCACCTTAACTTGCTCAATGTTCTACCAATTTTCCAACGGTCTGGTTTGTTATAAACGCGAGTAGTTATGATACTGCATACTTATGAATAATAAGTATATAAATAAATAATCATCCAGAATTATAGCCACGTTAATAACGTTTGTAAGAAACCAAACCGTTTGTAAATCCGTCAAGATTTCAACGAGATAAGAGTATTTCTTACAACAGATACCACAGAGCCCGCCAGAAAGCCTGTCTGTGACAAGATGGCCGCCGGTGATGACGATAAATACTCCGCCGTGAGACATCTAGCCTTTATATAAATATCTATGCCTGTAACTGTCTGGGTAAACCCTGCGAAGGTCCGTGAAGACTGAAGATCGTGTAATGACGTAAGGCTAAGTTCATTGGTCGCATCTCTGAGACAAAATGTCAATGACAGAAATGAATGGGAAATTTACTTCCGGCACCAAAACTCTCTCGGGCTGTGGGCGGGACTGTGATGCTCTTTAGGAATGAAGCCGTTAAACATGTTTCTGTTCTGACCTCAGCTGTCACCTGACACCTTTTTCCATGTATATTTCCAGAGCAACTGGTCATACAACCCAGGGATGATTCCTGATCTCAAAGTCATCCCGTCTGAACCCTGCATGAGTGCTTGTGCCATCAAAAGTCTTTCTTTGATATCACTGCTCCTCTGTTTGGCACTGCATCGGGTTTCTTTATGAAATGTTCATGCAAAAAAAATGGCTCCCCGCAGGGACATTCTTGACAGCAACCTAAAAACCAGAATAACATAAAATTCAACTTAATATATGATAAATACATTTTTTTTTATAAATTATATCAGGATGGAATTGGGCTTTACACGTTACTTCCATTGGTTTACTTTCAGATCATATATATTATAATAAAACATGAATATATAGAATATTTATAAAAATTGCAATAATAATTATGATTATTATAGATAAAAAAGTTTATTTAGCCAATAGATGTGAGTGTTTATGCATTGGGGCATACTATGTATATAAAAAGTATATAAACATACTTTTTATGTTCTTTTCATCATGATTTTTGCAAGTTTGGTCATGGCCCTGATACATTGCATGAAATACCAGTCTTCAATAAACCGATTTTTGTACCAAGTCTTCCAAATTTTGGTTGGTTGAAGACTTTGTGTTCACATGTGGAATGTAGTAGTGGACTTTTTGTTTTTAACAAAATGTGTTTTCTTTCTAAATTCATGCTCACATGTATTTTAATATCATATAATATAGCCTAATAATATATATGACCAATAAAGCTGTTACAGTATATAATATATTTTTACTATATTATTTTTTTCAGACAATAGAACAAGTGGCTATAGTATGATATAGAGAATGACAAAATTTTGTATGTTACAAATATCTGAATTGACTGAGAAAGTTCAAGAACAGGATGAAAGCTCTGTGATTACAAGTAATAAGCACACGAAAAAAGGAAAATAAAATGGTCAAACTAAATTCTTTAAATATAAAACAAAAGAGAAGCAGATAAGTCCGTGAAACTCCTGTCAGCATTCACTGAACAGAGAGAGAGCGACGGCAGGGAGAAAGCAAAAATAAAAAAATAAACTTCAACATCATAGATGGCAGAAAGTAATATTTCACAAGATGTAAACAACACTGGTCCAGAAGCACTTCCTGTTTCAGTTTTTTAACACTACATAAAAGCTGGGATAAAATACAACCAACAGAACATTTAAAACTGAATCAAAAAGTTAAACAAGCATATTTAAGATGTTTTCTTTACATGTGAAACTGAAACAGGAAGTGTTTCTGGACCAGTGTTGTTTACATCTTGTGAAATGGTCTATACATTAATCTCTTACAATATCCATAACAAGCCAGAGGCCTACATCAAAGCGTACAAAAATAAGCATGTCATGGAACCTTAAAGATTGTGAGCTGAAGAGTAATATTCAGATTTTGATGGAGACAAGGGTGGATGCTTGACAGATGCCACAATGCTAAAAGACATGAGTCCAATGGTTACCAGACTATTGAAAATGCCAAATATGATACAGCCCCACCTAAGATATTTTTCACCAGCCGCCACTGCAAGCTATGATAAATGATCTGGGGGGTACTTTGAGCTGAAATTTCAGACAGACTCTGGGGACACAATAGATTTATATTCCATCTTGTGAAAAGGGGCATAACATGTCACCTTTAAAGTGAAAGCAACCTATAATTTCTGCATCTGTTTGGTTTTAATGCTAATCAAACAAAAGACAAAAAATGATTCACTGCTCTTGACTGAATAACTTTTGTAAATTTGATGAGGATTAATTAATGTTAAATTTATACAGTGAAGACTATCCAGTGTTTTACATTTGATTGCTTTATTCAATGTCTCTACCTGAAAACTACTTGTCTTGACGAAAGTTTCAAATTTAGATTAGTTTAGCTAGTAGTTTTAGCTGTGGCATCGACATTGGAATAGAGACAATTGGAATATTGGCAGTCACCGGCCATTGGCAGGTGAGCCGAAAAGTTATTTTTAGTATGCGTATACTTTATACATATTTACAATTCAAATATATCACATCATTTTCCTTAAAGGAAGTCTTTAACTACATTGTAAACATTAACATTCAGTTCCTGAGATTTTTTTGTTGTTCATTATAACAATATTCATGCTCAGTGTTTTACAATAGTAACATCAGGTGATGTGGAACCTGATGAGTGAGAGGAGGAGTGACTCCGGTGAGGGGGGACGGGTCACAGACCACTTACAAAGAGTTCTGTTCAAGTGCACTACTGAGCAGTTTAATGTACACTGTCTTCTCAAACATCTGACACAAAGACTTGAAAAGGTAACATGGGCCTATTATCTCTTGTCCTGCTCTTGCTTTCAGCCCAGTGGTCCTGCGCTCAGGAAGACCCTCTTCTACCTTTCTCTGAACACCTGGACCCCGAGCACAATGTGCGGCTGAAGTGGGGCTTTGATGAGATCCAGGGCACCATCTTGTTCGAGCTCACTGTCAACACCAGCGGCTGGGTCGGGTTTGGCTTCAGCCCTAAAGGAGGAATGACTGGAGCCGACATCGTCATTGGAGGAGTCGGACCGAAAGGCAGTTACTTCACGGTAAAGTCCAAAAAGACTGACACTCACAACTGTCAAAGGATACTTTTATATTCTTCTGATTCATTTATGCATTTCAAATTTAGTTTATATAAAATATACATTTCTTAGTGTTTCACATTATCACTGACTTACAGCTGTGGAGTTACAACTAATTTTATATTCTTTATTCTGGTATGTTTATTTGCTTATTATTTGGATACTCTTCCTGGGGTTCGACCCAGGAATATTTCATATTTAGTTTGAGTAGTCTGAGAAACTTTATGTAGTCTGAGAAAGCGTTTCAAGGAATTATTTAAAAATATATATTTTACCAAGTTAAAATACAATAAAGTACAATAAAATACTGTTTCAGTCTTTCAACTTCAAAACGTCATGAATTATATGTGTTACTTGCTGTTGCTTTTTAATTATTAGTGAAATTTTAGCAATTTCTGAGAGAAAACTCTTCCTACAAATATAAATATATATATATATATATATATATGAAGAGTTCAGATGCAAAAGCCTCTAAATGCTATTTGAAATTTTCTTCTTTAATGATGATTTTTATCAAACTTGTATATTTAAGTTCAGTAATTTCACTTAAATAACAATTAATAGGTAATTATCATTGCCATGTAAGTGAAATCACTGAACTTAAATATACAAGCTTGATAAAAATTATCATTCTAGAAGAAAATTTCAAATGGCACTTACTAAAGGCTTTTGCATCTGAACTCTTCATATATATATATATATATATATATATATGAAGAGTTCAGATGCAAAAGCCTCTAAATGCCATTTGAAATTTTCTTCTTTAATGATGATTTTTGTCAAGCCTGTATATTTAAGTTCAGTGATTTCACTTACATGGCAATGATAATTACCTATTAATTGTTATTTAAGTGAAATTACTGAACTTAAATATATAAGTTTGATAAAAATCATCATTAAAGAAGAAAATTTCAAATAGCATTTAGAGGCTTTTGCATCTGAACTCTTCATATATATATATATATATGTATGTATGTTTTGGCCATCTAGCTGGATATTTTCAGGTACTAACTGGTTATATGTAAACAAACTATGAAGAAAACATCACAAAAACATATGCTGTTATGAGTGAAAATATGGAACATTTTTTTTTTTTTTCCAAACACCTGTTGCTATGCTTACAAGCCTTACATACATCTCTTTCTATCATCTTTGTTTTCCTTTTGTTCAGGACCGTAATGCTGAGGGGAATTCAATGCCTGTGGTTGACCAGAAACAGAACTACAAACTCCTGTCTCTAACCGAGTCTGACGGGAGAACGGTCATGAAGTTTCAGAGATCTATTGAGACCTGTGATGAAAAAGATTTACCCATCACTGTGAGTCCTCGATCAACATCCCCATACAACCATGTTTTGAAATACATTAATATTTTATAATTATAAAAAAAAGTCTGCCTTTCAAAATGTGAGGATTACGGACTCAGTAGAATCAACCTATAATTTAACCTTTCAAACTTTACAATTATTAGAGATTAAAATGTTTAAGATTAAGGTTTGGGTAGTTGAACAAATCCAACAAAAAAGCCAACAAATCCAGCAGATCCTTATCTGTCCTACTTGAGTGAGCAGACAGGATTAATATAGGCTACTGTTTGTTCCTGGAACTGGTCTAATGATAAACAGCACACCTACCGAATTTGATATCCTATTTTCTGCTAAATCACACCCACGACATGTTTGCAATTTAGGAACTGTGATGCGACTACAAAGAAAAGTACACAATCGGTTTCACTCTCCCCTTTTATTATGTAGCCTAGTACTCAGAGGTTTTACAGAGAAAACAATGTGAATGTAAGACCTACTGCACTGATAAAACCTGAATTGTAAGATTGTAAGAGTGGTGTCCTCTTTCAGGGTCCTTTCAGTCTCATATGAAAATCCACATGGGACCAGGAAGTTTCTACCGATTCTGTTTGTTGTCAATTAGGCTACTGTAATCTAAAGCTGCTGATGTGATAGACTGTCTGACTGAACTCAGAAACCTTGAAAGTCTCGATCTGAAACTACTAGCTAAAGAGTTTCTCATTTTTCAGTTCAGATTTGGTATCTGTGGACCAGATGTCTGTGTTTTGTTTTATTGCATGATCAGAATCTTCCCATGAAGCTGATCTATGCGTACGGACAGAGCGATGACATCGTGTACCATAATAACCGAAGGGGAACCAAAGAGGTGAACCTGTTGAAGTACATGCCTCGAGTCAGTCCTCCAAACAGCAAGTATTTCGACATGACTATGGCCAATGTAAGAGATTTTTACTTTTTCTTTTGCCTTATTAAAAATAAATAAATAAATCTGCCAATTCGTTATTTGAGCTTTTGATAATCAAAAAGAATGCACAAAACTTTGACCTGGTGTAAAGAACAAAGAGACAAGCAATATTCCAGGTTAAAGTTTATTTTGTCCTACTAGGCTGTGACCACAAGTAACAGAATGTTTGGGAATTGGTCCATAATCCAGGTGCAGATTAAACATGGTTAAGAAAAAATGGTAACATAACATTTAGACTAGACTATAGACAAGTCAAGTCACCTTTATTTTTTAGAGAGTTTTATAAAGATTATTTCAAAGCAGTTTTACAGGGATCAATAGGAAAATAAATCACACTAAAGTACAAGAATGGAAGGCTAATTCACAAAAAAAAAAAAAAACAAAAACATGTATACGTATTTGGCATTCGCTTTATGTGACTTAGCATTTTATGGGGTCATGAACTGAGAATTCATAATGTCCTTGATCTTTTGACAGTTAAGAGTTTGATTTACAGAAATTGCGTTGCATTGATAAGATCTTTTCATACGCGATCATATTTAACAAATATAACCGCAAATACAGTTATATTATTATAGTTATAATAAATACAGTTATATCTCAAAACAGAATTAAACAACAACATACTTATCGTCATACGCGATCAACAGACCGTTTGTCATCTGCTCAATGCTTATCACTGCAACCTTTCATGTGATGGAATAAAGTAGATCTAAA